TCTAGCCATACTCAAACCTCCATTCTGAGCAGACTTGGTCCCGCCGAATGTGGTGCGAAGAGCTATGATGCGCCGTACAGAAGCTGCGGAGCCGCTCACCACGGACGAGGCGGTTCGTGGGCCGAGACCACCTCCGCTTACACCGTTACTGCGACTGGTACTGGTGGGCCGGCTGTGAGACCCAGAGTACGTCCTTACAATGACGGGCTGCGAGTATGTACTGCTTTGGGCACCGGTAGACTTGGCGTAGCGATGGCGGGAAGGGTAATTGCTGTTTAGCTCGCGCAGGGCAGAAGTACGATGTGCGGCGGTGCTATCGTCGAGGGGAATCGGCTTTCCCTCAGCCGTCGAAGGAATAAGAGATGTCGAGGACGTGTTGGGCTGGAAGAGCGGGGGAAATGCAAATGATATAGAGTCTCGCGAGGTTCTCTTGGACGCGAGAGAGGAAGGGAATTGAGTAGCCGCGGGGGCACCTCCGGGACGAGCACCTGGGGGATGATGGCGGGATTGAGATGAACCGGAGTGGTCTTGAGGAGGGGTCTTCCCTGAACCCATCTTCACTGGAGGTCGCGGATTGCGCGACGGGCTAAATATATGTACAACGAGATGGCAGCATGAGCTGCCAGGGTAGTAATTTTGAAGGGTAAGTCGGCGTTGCTATGTCGTGCGGCAGGATGGGGTTTGGGGTGGGAAAAAAAGTCAGATCAGCGGATGCGGAGGCATGGTTAGCTGGTATCGGACGTCGCGTGTGGGAGAGAGAGATATGTCGAGTGCTGTTCCTGACCGGGATGTGGTTCGCGGGCGAGGAGAGAATATGCAGGTAGGTTGTTTTAGCAGATGTGCGAATCGTTCGTTTTGGAACTGTGTCCTTCCAAATGGGCAATGAGCGGTCTCGGGAGGTGGAGATGGGTTAAGTTGAGACAGGCAGATACGGGCGATTGAGGTGTGTGAGTGTCTACTGTAGTATATTCGAGTAGCGTGACTGCGGCGTGGTGGAGCGAGTTCTGTGAGGAAGCAATCCGGATCGCCTCGAGATGCGCAGACAAGGTTGCAAACTGGATTCCCCGCAGCGATTGCAGATTTCTCTCGAGAAGAGGAGCAGAAAGGTGGAGGAGGAATGAGACAAAAGCGATGGAAAGGGAAATCAGAAAGGGGGGGAAGCAAGAAAAAGAGTATTCTGGCAAATGTTTAGGGTGAAGTTGCATCCGGTTGTAGCGTTGGGTTTTTGGGGCGGGGGAAGAGGCAGGAGGCAGGAGGCAGGAGAGAGAGAGGCTACTTGCAGTTTAGACCGTGACAATAGGCGCAAAAGAGGTATCCGGAGACACAATATGACAGACAGCCCAGCCAAAAAAGACAGCCCGGCTTTTGGTAGGCCGCTAGAGAAAAGCACTTGAGAGGCTAGAGCAACGCGGCACCAGCGAACGAAGCAGGTGCGTGCTGCACGAGTGTCGTGGCTGCCGTTCAAAGGGTGGTCCGACACTGCCCCCCCTGTCGCTGCCATTGAGCTCCCGTCAGTGCCGTCCAATGACGGCGAGCTTTACCGTGCCAAACGGCAATACTGTGAGACGGTGGCACGGTCCTCTTCCCCGTCGGTCGCTCTTCCGTTCTTAATTCCCAGTGTCCCACCCTCCGGCACCTCAGCACAGCGAGACGGCGACTGGCCCAAAAATGCTAACTCTACGCCCGGGCCATAGTCAAAAATGACCAGTCACCACCACTACTGCCAGCGCCAGCTTTCCCCTCATTGGCACTCATGGTCCAATCCTGGCGGCGTATCGATCGTTGAATCAGAATGCAGTTGTCAAAGACGGGAGTTTTGAGCAATTCCTTGACGTTGAGTGGATACAGAGAAGCGAATCTAAAAGAATATTCTGGACTTCCTTACGTGTGGCCAGACCATTGTCAACACCACTTTCACGCCAAATGAAGTCGTTTTGCAGACGGATACTCACATTGCAAATTGGAAGTCCCGTCACAATGATGCGCAGGTCGTGGACCCTATAGCGGCCCTCGAGTCTCGACCAGGCTTAATCAATAAGTTCCGCCCACATAGCACTGTCTGCCCAGCCCTATCGATCGATTCGGCAGCATTGATTCGAGCTTGGAAGCCAAGCGAGACGCATGCGACTACAGTGCTGCTCGTTCAACCGTATCCCTCAACATCCTCGAGCTGCGACTTTCCATAGCCCGAGAATCATATTCACAATCACCGGTGGCAAGACCAGGTAGGATGCGCTGGCAATCGAGATCCGGCACCATCATCTGCACGCGCGCCAGGCACGCGCACGCCGTTGGTCAAGTTTCTGATGGTATTATTCTTGTTTATCTTCATACAGTCTCCGTACTGCCAAAGGACCATTGCCTCCTCGTTGTCGCCAGGTGAACGCCCTTCCCAAAGATGATGCTGATGTCGCTCGTCAGGACACCGGCCATACATAGTCGTACCTACTGCCGCGCATGTGCCGCACTACCATTCCGCTGCAGCTACAGTCACCGATAGCCTCCCTAGGTAACCACACAGTTTTGCGATTTAGTGAGTCGGCTGGGCAATCGTGCCGTAACCGTGGCCGCCGCTCTGCACGTTGTCGCTGTAGACACCCGGCGCGCGGCCAGTAATGATACGGCCCTCCCTCGCCTGCTCCTTGCGGTCGTAGTATACGTATTCGAGGTAAAATGCGTGGATGTGACCGGGGATGTATCCCAGGAGCGTCAGGCAGATGTTGACGAGGAGGTCTATGAAACTGGTCAGCGCTATCTCCACTAGCCACCGCCTTGAACGAGGCGTGGACTTTGGACAACTCACCCATGCCACAGCCCGCGACTGCGTAGACACCGACAGGCGGCACTGTAGTATATGTTAGCATCACTCCTAGCTTATCCGTGCAACCAACGTTGCGTCGCCGCGACGTACCCAGAATGGTGATGAGGATGAGAAAGACGGCGGAAATGGCACCCATTTTGTTTGTCTGATGTTTTCCTACTGAAAGTGATAGTCTTCGAGGATGATGCTTGATGCGTCGATGGGACTGGACGAATGTTCTGATTCAGTTGCGTGCGCTTAAGGGTATCAAGAAGTATCAGTGTGCGTGAAGTTGTTGTTGATTTGGCAAAACAAATCGACGTCAACCTCAGCCGAGGCGAGGAGAACCTTAAATGCCCCAGCCTGGGTCAGACACAACCTGGCGTGCCTGGCAAGGCGGCGGCGCGGCGAACGGCCAAAAGTTGCCGTGCTCTCACCTGCCTTGTCTTGCTTTGCGAGAGGTAACAGGTTGCGCGTACGCCCTGACGCCTCCCCCTCGACCTACGTAACCTGAGCAGCCAATGTCAATGAGCGAAGCCCTTCGTGACGTGGAATGGGTGGCCAGTGCATGACGTAACCGGCACGTGCCGTTTCACTGCCGGCCGCCCAGGCCTTTGGGTTCCTGGACCAATGTGTCTTGCTTGAATTCATATTGACAGTCTGGTCCGTATTTGGCAGATTTGTCGGAAACTCGGCGAAGCAATGTGATTCTAGAATCTCAAGACATCAGAGAGAAGGGTATGGTGACAGTCGTGGCCATGGAGCTGAGAACCATGACGATCATTGGAAAGCCCCAATGAGACGCAGTGTGCCCTGAACCAGCAAGGCTTCCGGCTTGCTGCCGGCCACAGATGGTGCGTGCCTGAGACATGCATCTCTCCGATTCCCCAACCGGAACCAATCATGCAACAGTATATATACAGTGAACCCCCAGAACACCTCTAGGCGTACCTAAAGAAGGTGCCTCCTTACGAAGGATAATGGCCAAGACGGCTTTCAAAGCTGGTGTTGATGCATGTCATCCCACTGGAAGGTCAACAAACCGTACAATTCTCTGTAGCCTGTACCCAGAGCTAAGCCATCCTCTAAACGCCTGATAGAGTCCTGCGACCCGTTGTTTCGTTGAGATCTCAAAGGCTATCATAGCCGTGACATATAGACGTCGGTCTGTTTCAATGGCGACCGATGTTATGTCGAGCAGGAAAGTTTCGCATTCAGGAGCTCCGGCTGATCTCCAGCCAGGGTCCAAGCTTCTCCCGAAGCATACACGTGCTTCGTCTAGAACGTCGAAAATTAGGCGAAAAAGAAGTTTTTGCAAAGAACCATAAAGGAATTGGCTAACAAGCGCTGAGTTACGGAGATTTTGTACTTGGGTTGTGGTATATAAAGACTAGCCAACCAGTGAATGCAAATATCGTTACGGTCCGAGCAGGGACCGGCATCGCGGTGTTGTTCCGCGACATGCTCTTGAAACCGAGGCCGCGTAGCTGCTCGCTCGCCTCCAGATGACATAACCACGCGAAGCTTGCGAACACCAAATCGCTGCCTTGGCTAGATTAGATGAATTTTATACATTTTGAATTCCCATCGGAGATTCGAAATGCCGTCTAACAAATGAGACTCATCTCGGCTGAGGCGCCTCGAGAATAGCACACATCCGAGTTGAAACTGCTTGGGACGTTGGGCGTGACTCTGATTTAGGCTACCAATTGGCATAGTCGAAAACACAGCCGCAACACAACTTGGATCGACAAGGCAATACGAATGCCGATCAAGCCACCACAGACCTGGTAATATCACCTCCAACTACCGGTAGGTGAAGCAAGGCAGAGTCCGAGGACACCGAGACCGACTCGACTGATTAGTATAGCTCGACTCGAGACCTCACGCTGCTGTTCATGAGGGCGTACTGTGTAGAGTAACAGAACCGGTGCCGAAGAGCTGCAGTGATAGCCGGGAGGGTCTGATTTCCTTCGACAGGCAAGGGCTGGCGCTAGCTCCAAGGGCCCATCCGTGGCAGATGGGGGCCGATGGTAATGGTGCGAACTAAGACACTTCTTCCAACCTTCTCGAAGCTTGAGCCCTGCGAAGTGTGTTGAATAAGGGGGGTCTGAGCCGTTGAACCCGCGGATTGGTCCAAAACTATGCCCCGTCCGCCAACCTTTACAGACTTGTGAAAGTGATTCAAGAAGCAAACTCATCAGCCGCCCACGGTAGGCAGTGTAAAGTGTTGTTTACGTCGCCTTTGACCGCGGAGACGTGTGTCGATGCTCTCCTCTCCATCGGTACCGAGCCGTGCTGTCGATGCTACCTGCAAAGGCGTAGGGGAACGGCTACCCGAAGTAGCGACAGGGTAGGCCCAGTTAGGCCCAGTCAATACATCATTGTGGGCTGATACCATGGGCGCCAGGTGACGCTTCGTGTGTGCCGGCAAGTGAGGTATGGCCGTGTGGAGCCATTTAACGTTCGCTTTGCTGCTCCAACGGGGGCTAACTGCAAAGCTGTTGGATCCTTCAGAAGGAATTTTGTGTGTGCCGGCTGGTAACATGCTAACTCCACGGACGTTGATGCCTTCTTGAAAGTCCCAGAACCGTTGACCAAGCTCGCGAAAACCTAGCTGAATCTCTCCACGTGGTGGACAGGGAGATGTCGCTCAGCGGGTAATCTTGGTGCGTGCTACCACAACTGTCTGTACTCAGAGACAGTTTTCGCCTCCGGGTCCTCTGACACGCACTCAAACGGGCAAGCTCCCTAGACTTGTCTTGAACAGACAATTTGCGGCTCGCTGTTTTGACCTGGGGTAGTGGTACTTGGCTGCGCAACGAGGCACCTCTTCAACGCTCATGTTGACTGACTGCTCCTTCCCAAAGCTCTATGCTCAACGGCCAGTGGGCGACTTGTCATGGGAGGCTGCTTGTGGAGTGGAAGTCGACAATGTGTACGGAGTAGTGTATGGGTGTAGCTTCAGGCAGGGTAACAAGGGTGGGGAGGCATCCGGAGACTGAAGTCGACAGGTATTTAGGGCACAGTAGCAAAGTGACCCCTTATCGAAGAGCATATTGTGCATTTGGGCGAGCTAACACGCCTCTGTTCTCGTTTCTCGTAGTCATCATTGTGCCGCTTTATAGACTATACTTGTGCAGTTATGGAATGTTCATGGCAATGATCCTCTGAAGGTTGGTCGATCCATCAGCATGTGTTGATATGCTCAGAACCCAAAACAGGAATTCCTTCGTCGCGGAGTTAAGTGTGTGACAAAGCCGCATAGGCGCAACCCCGGAGAACAATAGAGGTCGATACACGACTGGGACGCAGTGTGCCGCTTGTAGTTGCAGTATCAACTACCTTGGTCCCCGACGAGGGCGATGCCGCGAGGGACGTGAGTGACGGGTTCGTGCTGGACGGAGAAGACGCAAAGGGGAGAAGAAGGGGCCCTGCTGATAGGGAAGATCCAAGCATCCGGCGACGGCGGCAAGGAGCCGGTATGCAAGAGAGCGTGGCTATGTCCAAGGGTTCCCTCCCGAGGGAACGTGGAAAAGGCGCCGTGGTCGAAGAGTGGACTTTTGAGCCCTGCCGTGCATAAAATGTGGTGGTTTCTGCAGCCTAGCAGCAGGTTATAGTCACCGCCGGCGGCCCTCCAGCGTCTACAATTTCTTGTCGAGCGCCAATGGACAGTTGACCATTGGATGATTCATGGACTCTGTTCAAAGGGGGTGAGAGTCGCAGCAGTGGTGGCAAGAGAGGCTATGGAAAGGTAAGCAAGCTGAAGCTGTCTCCGACGTCTTGTAGACCCGTATCCCCGGGAATTGAAGTCAACAGCCTGTGGCCTGCGTGTGTGTTTTGTCCGACAAATGTGAGGCGAGCGGTATGACGGGTGGGTTTTTGGATGCACATTCCGTTCTTTAGCACGGATGGAATTTCATTCGCGACCCCATTTTCCCACGTTGGGTCAAGCGATGGGACGCTGATGTGGCCCTTCCCTTGCCGTGCTGCTGCTCTCTGAGGTACCTGAGGTACTCCGTAGAATCTGCTTGGGTTCCCTCCGCCGTGGTTCATTGCGCGCACATGGCAGCCCAGGCAGGAAGGCCAGATGCAACGAGCACGGCCGCAGTCTCCGGCACAGCACTGACGCCGCTCCCAAGTGCGACAGGGGAAAGGCACCTAAACCAAAGGCTCCAGCAGATGTGCTTCGGCACCTCGGATCTGTTGGCGCTTGGGTTCCTACTTAGGGGACATTCCATTGAGTTAGGGGACTTGAGAAGTTGGGGCGGGTTATGCAGTTGACGAAGCTCGTGGGGTCCTAGACCGAGACTATTAGCTCGCAGAAAGCAAAGGCAAGGCAGGCTTATGAGACGAGACATCGCGGGGAACACGATCTACCTTAGCACGGATTGTCATGTGCAGCCGTCTGCTCGGAGGAACCTCATCTCTCTTTTTCCTGTGAAAGTCACGATCGCGGGAGCCGTCCCTGCAGGGTACAGACGCAGTTTTGAGAAAGAACATGGCTTTGGTCGCCGATGAGGAGCAGCACTAGGGCTGCCGGCCTTATGCAGTAGCCCTTATGGTTCTCTTCGTTCTCCAAGCTTGAGTGTCGTTTGCTCAACTCGAGCCGAGACATTAAAGTCGAGGTTGATACTCGAGAAGACACATACACATGTACGATGGTGATGGAGGAGAAAACTGAGCGAGGGATTTCAGGGTGCCTGCCAAAGAGAATTCGTCGCCAGCTTGCATTGGTTCCGTAAGCAACCCCGATGGCTGCGTATCATGTATGATTCGAGACTTTTCCAACGTTCATCTTCATGGCCACCTCACGATGGAAAGTGCCAAACACCTCGCATTGCTGTCACAATCTAAGCTCAAGGCAAGGAAGGCAAGGTACCTTACCTCCACGTCGCCTTACCGTGTTACCAGGGGTGCCTCCACCAGTCGTATCAAAATTGCAAGCCCGGCAACTTGTGTATGTCATGTACCTGACCAAACCAAGCCTCCCCCCGTTGCCGTACGGTACTGCCCTGGGTGTTGGGTGCTGTTGCTGCAGCTGCACATGGACCAACTGCGCCCACCAAACACGCCCTCGATCGTTGGACAGCATCTTGTTTTGTTCCTGCCGGTCGTCGTCTCTTGTTACTCGTTGGTGTTGCCATGTACTTGTGTAGAAAGGCAACGCAAGACAGGTAAGAAAGACCAATTGTGGGAAGTACTGCCTGGGCTAAAGGCAAGGTTAGCGGTACCTGCCTCACTATCTACTGTATAGGAATAGGTATACCTGTGGATGCACAAGTCTCCGTAAGGTACGAATACTCACGTACCGTTGTAAACACCGGGCTTTTTGCAATCCTCTTTTTTTGGGAGTCGTTCCCCAGGAGCAAAAGAGACAGTGGAGGAGGTACTTTCCCTCGCACTGCACGCTCCATGCAAAACTAGGTACCCTACCTGACGGAGCATTTTCCCAAGTCCCACGCCAACACCAATTTTCTTCTCCTGCGTCTACGGTCGACTTCCCTCCTACCTTCCCATCACCTTTCCCTCTTTTCGGTTCCTTCCTCCTTGCCCCTACCGAAACCTCCCACCTCTCCTCCTCCTCCTCTCCTTCCCCGAGTTGCTGCGAGGACAAAAGGTATTTCGACACGAGGACCGGTCAATTTCCTCCTCGTCTCCTTTTCTGCCCTTGCCTGCTTGTTGCCGCAACTTCCGCTTCGGTCTTTTTTGCTGTGCACTTCACTTTGCTCGGCACCTCTCCTGAAGCTTGAACCGGGAACCACTCCCGTACCCTCCCCCGAGCATCCGTCGTTTGTTCGAGTCAACCACACACCTACAGCTACTCGCCTGCTGTGTGGGAAACAATTGTTTGAAGCATCGGCTTGCTTTCTCCCAGGCATCGCCATAGCCATTATCCTTACCGTGCAGCCTTTCGTCATCGGCCACGTTGTCGCCTTCCTGCCAAAATGTCTGGTTCCCAAGCTGGTAACCAGCTCAACATCGATCGCTATGTCGTGATCCACGTCGCAACCACCTGCGATGAGCATGGAGTCTACGTCACCAAGGACTCGGCCGAGGTTATTGAGCTCGGCTGGATTCTTCTCGACGCCAAGTCTCTGGAGGAGGTGAGTTGGCATCATCCATCCCCGACTTTTTTTTTTGCGGGCTATCCCTCTTCGCTGCTTCAACCCAGAGCTGACCGAGCTTGTCTCTAGATCACCCGCGAGAGCGTTCTTGTCAAACCCATCAACACTCCGATCACACCCCTGTGCAGTAAGTAGTCGCACCAGGCTTGAGACCTCAATCCCCTTCCCGTCACGCCATATGACGCCTGTTTGAGGCGCGGGCAACATCCTCGTGAAAAAATTCCCTAGCTGACCTCGGCATTTTTCTCTTCCTCTAGCGAGCTTGACGACCCTGACCTGGGAACATGTCCGTAATGCTGGTACCTTCCGCGATGCCATTAACCGATTCGACACCTTTGCCAACGAACACTTGACTTCGCAAAACCTCGATTTCGTCTTCGTTACCCTCGATGCTTGGGACCTTCGCGTCCAGCTGCCCCGAGAGGCCCGCGACAAGGCTGTCGTTCTGCCCCCGTACCTTCAGCACTCCCGCACGTTCGATTTGCGAACCGAATATCAGAGATGGCAGCAGCACCACCCCGAATCGTTGCCTTTTGGGCCCTCAATGCTGTCCAATATCTGTGCCGCCTTGGAGGTGGAGCCGGTCCAGTCCAGTGCTCCAATCAAGCACAACCTGCCTTTCCACCTTCAGGCGCTGGCTCCTGCCTCTCCTCGCCGCGCCATGGAGGAGGCCGTCACTCTCGCCCGCGTTCTGCGAGGCCTCATTCGCAAGTCGCAGCCTTCCCATGAGCACCCCGATGTCTTGACGAGACCAATGGATGCTCGCGCCGATGTGCGGGCTTTCTTGTCGGAGCGCAGCAAGGTTCTCCACATGTCTGGCCTGCCCCATGATACCACTCAATCCGAGCTCGAGAGCTGGTTCACTCAGTTTGGCGGTCGTCCCATTGCGTTTTGGACCCTCCGTACCCCTGAGCAGCACAAGCCCACCGGCAGCGGCTTCGCCGTGTTCTCTTCCCATGAGGAGGTGAGTTGGCCATTTCTTCATCGTGCCCTGCACACTGTCCATTGTGTCTATCAAGAACCTACGTGTGGCGTTCTTAGTTGGACACTGTCATCAGACGTGGCACTTTTGAGGTACCCTGCTGACATCCTTCCTAGGCCGCTGAGAGTCTGTGCATGAACGGTCGTGCCCTTAATGAGAAGGCGATCGAAGTGTCTCCGTCTTCTAGCCGTGTCCTGGACCGCGCTGCTGAGATCCTCACCCCCTTCCCGCCCAGCAAGAACCGCCCTCGCCCTGGCGACTGGACTTGCCCTTCATGTGGCTTCTCGAACT